CCAAAACCCCCGAAGCATATACAGACCAGCAGGAAATCCCCAACCCGCAACCCCCCCCCCCCCTCCCTCCGACAATCAAAGTTGCCGAAGCTGGTAAGTTTGAAGCAATGCGTTTAATTTCGAAATTAAAAAAAATTCAACTCTATTTTACCGAAAGTAAACTAGTTTTTTAATGAAGTATCCGGAGAGAGAGAGGGAGAGTAGACACGTACGCATGAAATTGCAACAAAGCAAGGACAGATAAGAACCAAGTATACATACATTAAGATAGGACTGGAATTGCTGTTCATCACTACCAGCCCAAATAGTAAGGAGTGAAGCGAGAAGGGCAAGGGCTTCAAGACGCGATTGAGCTGTAGTTGAGGTGATAAACAGGCGGATGTTCAAGTCATCGAGTGTGGGAGCAGATTTCGATGGTGGTGTATAGGTAGAAGCAATTTGACTTGCAATTGCATAAGCACGTACCAAAATGTGGGCGGTGGGGTCACCCCCACTAATTGACTTATCCGCACACAGATTTGGGTCATTAAGAGCCACTTTTTCTGGCCGCGATAGTGAAAAGGAGAGGACACGCTGAAGGAGATATACATAAATAGATACATGGCCGTCTTTAGTGAAAAGAGTGTATGAAAGCAAGTCTTTAAACAGTTGTGAAAGTGATGGTTAATTCTAACCAACGAGTTGATTAGTAGAACGGGAGTTTCGAAAAATAGACACAAGAAAACCTTACTCAATCTAAACGAAGTTTTTAGCTAACACTTTCATTAATGAATTAGGATATTTTAAAAACAAAAGTGCAATGGTAAACTTGATTTTAGAGATACGCTATCACAGAGGCCTAGCATTGTCAGACAACTTGTTTTGTGAAGCATAAAAATGAAACAAGCTAAGTGAAATGCGAATGAAGTTTCTGACGCATTAAATCAGTATTATACCAACCCCCAAATAGGTTGATAAAAAAGGATATTAGTACCAGTTGATTACATATGTACTTTAAGGGAGAAAACAATAGAGGAAGCAGGTGAACCTATTTCGAGTGTTTAAAACAATAAAATAAAATTTAATTAAGTCTTCGCTAAATCGATTTGAAGCCCTAATTCTGAATAAATTAAAGAACAAATACAAACCAATTTCTAATAGAATACTAAGACAACGCCTTACAGACAATTCCAGAAAAAATACAAAACAAACCATGTTCCTTATTTGGACTTCCACACCAACTCCAAGATGTCATAGAAGTTAGATTAAATAGGTTTTAGCACTCAGAGAAATAGTGAAAGCGATTAACATTAACTAATAATCATTGTGGCAAAAAATTACCTCCAGGAATGTTACATAGCGTGAGAGAGTTGGATTCGGAAGATTAGAGATTAACCTTCGGGCGCAGTAAACTGAAACGTAGAAATTAGAACTCTGAGAAAACGATAAATTCTCCCTTGAGAATGGTGGTCGATCGTAGTTAGAAATGATGGGGATCAGACCACCTTTTATTAGAACTATTGAGCCGACGAGAGTTGATGGATCTCCAGTTCCTAAATGAGATTTCAAATATTTCAGTAATATCTAATGGGAAAATTCACATATATACACAAAAGCTGCATTCTTACGTGCATTATTCTTAGGAACAGGAAATCCGCAGAAGTATTGTGACGGTATAAAAATCTTGGAGGAAGCGTTAGAAATACTAAATTCAGATTTTGGATCGGTATGATCTTCGATTGTTGGATCCTGGAACAACTTTGCATTCAAAAAGGCTTGCGCCACTTGAAGTTCTGATTCATGGGACGCATACTAATTGCAGTAGTTGGCTAAAAACTTGGTTTACCTTTATAATTACTAATAAAGCGATCTGAAACAAAGAAAGTATCCCAAGTATAGTGAGTATGAATATCCAAGTTGAACGAGACTTTATACTCTTGCGAAAGAATTTTACAAATCCATCAGAGTAAAAGCAGTTTGCATTTGATCGGATCATTGTTTGTCAGACGAAGAACATTAATAAATAAAGATAAGCCGATGTGGAATACCGGAACGCGTAATTGCGCCAATAACCTTGAAATGACCCAATGAAATTTCTGTTAGTGTGAATATGTGGGGGAATTGATATTGAGGATATAAAATTTGTATAATTCCATAAGCATTAAATCCATTTGCCAATATATAGCTTTGAAACATGCATCAAATTTTATGATTTTTTGCTCATCTTATTAAATTCTGAATCTGATAAGTTCTCAAAGAACTTGAAATAAGTCAGATACATATTTATTGACATAAACGCATTTGCAAAAGCCTTTCAAACTAACAAATCTTATTTTGAATTTTCCAAAACATAATTTAATAATGTTAGTCAAGTAGAATCCTAATGATAGTAATATCGAAGGCACCTTTGCAAGATTCCTATTTTAAATATACCAGTCTCATCCTATTATGTTTTATTCGACCTGTAAAATTTCGAATAATTTGATAAAGGTTATGTTTATGATTTTTTGTAAATAAAACTCAAATGTGGAGGTCTTCTAATTTATGGCGGGAAAAGTTACGGTCTCATAAACTGAAGTCCAAGATCCAACTGATCAGTATCGACAAATTTTCCTTCACTTATCACACTTTAATTGTTGAATGTAGAACACTTGGGGTCTCTAAACTGACCGAATTATCGGTTTATCAATATTCTGGGACTATTTCCTTCAACTAGTGAAGTGCTCGCAGATTTTATCTCATTTATTATGAAAACTGGGAACCTTGAACTATCCTAATTATATTGTAAATAAATGTTTTCATACCACAATGTTTCATTATAAATATAAAAACTCTCTTAAACATCAGCACGCACACATTATATACATTCATTGATGTTTTCACGATGAATATTAAATATTAAATCTAGGCTTCATCGATCGCCTTATTTTCATAACAGTAGCAAGAATGGAGAAGGAGGATAAGTGCAAAAGGAATCTTGACACACAATGAATGATAAAAGTTTTCTCATTATATCCATCTGGATATTTTTAAATGCAATGCGCAAAAGGAAAATGGCAGAGGGATCAAATCACACCTAACATAATAGTTTCGATCATTCCCCTCTACTCCTTCGACCGACTCCACGTCGACTCAGGTTCCATAGGAGAATGCACCACCACTTGCACCATAAAACTCACCGGTGGAGCAATACTCGAAGGGCAGTCTGCAATCCTGAGTCCGTCTCTTAAGGCAACTCCACCACAATACCATCTCTGTCTGTCAGGAGGCCAACCAATTATTGTAGCAAGATGTTTCTTCGCTTCCATAACTGATTGAGTACTCGTCACAGGCAAGGAGTACTCATCTCCCGTTGACAGACGCATGCGAAGTTCAAACGGCCGGACGATGGCCGACCCACCCCCCGCACTTGAACAAACACTACCCACGGAAGGAAATAGAGCTGATTTCGAGGAGCGATTTTTCCGACGGGTTTTCTTCCCCAAACTGTGAGCTCTTCTTTGCCTTCGACGTCGAAAGAGCCTAAAGAAGGGATTTGAGGACTCCTGAGGTGAGGAGAGAGCTGTTTGAGATGGGGGATTTAGCGGGGGGTCACTCGAGGTCTCTAGGTGAGGTGGATTATCAAGAGCGGAAGAAGAAGTGGGAGCGTGCGGAGAGAGGAGGCTGACAACAGTAACACCCTCATCATTAAAATCATTGTCACAATCATCATTATTATCTTTGTGGATGGTGACATTTACGGTGGTGGGGATAGTACCGGGGGCGCTAGAAGTGGAAGGACAGGCAATAAGGAGATCTGTGGATGGACCCTCCCCACTCGGATCAGGTTCCAAGTTAGTGGGTTGCGAAAGCACAAATACGGGGAGTTGGTAACGATTACCCAGTTCGTCGTAGCTCTCAGCTAAGGTTCCTAAATAGTAAAAAGGGAAAATTCATTAGATACGCGAGTGTTTCCAGATGGTCATATTAATCGAATTAAAGTTTGCTCTTAATTTACAAGATAACTTTAGTCTAGATCTAAAGCCAAACCCGTCTACATGTTTCAAATTCTTACCGCCTCCTATTATCTGACAATTTCTCCTCGACTTCTCATTTCTTCTACGTATTCTTTGGTATCGAGAATTCCACTGATACTATTACATTTTGTTGCGACTATTAAGCTCCGCGCGTCAGCTATTCATATCGAGCATAGCCAGGAACATTTATATTCAAAATAAGAATAGATGATTTCGGGTAAAGAAAGACAACTCTGCTTGATTTTCTCCTTATGATTCACTTGCCTAAAAGATTTGTACAAAGTACATAACATGGCATTGATCTTACATTGCAATTCCATGGTCAAATGGTTATTTATTTATTGGTCATTTAGCTATAAAAATGGTGAATGTCCAAAATGTCATTAATTCGATAAAGAAACAGCCTTGAAGACAATAAGAAAGGAATATTTAAAGCGACTGCTCTCTAAATAAAGCGTAGGCGTGTGATTTTTTCAAACGGTGTTTTGATTAAATGATAAGACTAACTGTAAAAATTAATCATTTATTTACTGATTTCAAACCCAGATGTCTAACCACAACATAAAAAAATAAGGAAGAGGGGAAGGGGGCCTAGAAATAGTTTATCCTTTGAAGAGACTCCAATTAGCAGAATGAGTGCTGAGCAATGGCTTTTTCAATAACCCAGACGACAATTTTCGCAAGAGGTTTAAGAACAATATAACCTTCTTTATTGTGAGTTCAAGATGATATTTATCCTATTTATTGATTAAATTTGCTGCACGAAACACTGTAAATAATTAATCGATGAGGGAAGACAGAGTAACATAAACAACAAGTGTTAGAATGATGACCTTGGCGCATTTCCAGGTGATGATCAGTGGGAGGTGGCAATATTAAATTGGAGGCGGCTAGATTAATACTGCGATAATAGTATTGAGAGGGACAATATATCATTTGGCCTACACTAACGTGTAATGATCCGAGGGTGATTGAAAGTATTAAGTAATGTAAACTTTAAAATTGATAATATTCTTTTAGAAATGCACAAAATGGTATTTCCCTTTGAAATAATGAAGATGTCCTGAATAAAGCCGTTTTTAGTAATTTGTAAAAGGATATCTAGTAATTGGAACGGCATTACAATAAGGAAGAAGAAGATCAATTTGAAATAACTGACTAATTAGTACCAATATTTGCAGCAATGACGAGATTGCAGTCCCCGATATCAACTTTAAAAAATCAATCAAAATGTATGCCATATGCAAGTTATTGATTTCAAAGCTGGCTGCTGTATAGGTGCTAGTGGAACTTAAATGACTGGACTGTATAGGTCAACCAAAATTAACAATAATAATATCTAGAAAATAGCCAACTTCTAAACTAACCCCACGAAGGCACCTATTTTAAATCTACCAACAATTTGGAGGCCTAATTGTAGGTTGGGTGAAGGTGAAAAGTTGTCACAGTTCAACAGACGTTTTCAGATGATCTGATTAGAGCTCGCGGCATTACGTCAGAAACCCCTATATTTCGGCAATTAGGCCTCTGACTCACCCCCAACGCGTTACAGAAAACGTGATTTGTTTTTCAGCGAAAAGCTGATAAAGCTATTTCATTCCACTAGACTTGAGGCATCTTAAACCACAATTCCAAAAAAGGCTATTCCTTTTCTTAGGAGCTACTGATATCTCCCATAATTATATTTGAAAGAAAATTGACCAGTAAGGCTTACGCACAATCAATAGAAATTCGTAAAAACTAAATTGATATGCATGGTATCCAGATACATTAAACCCTTGACCCAACCTTGCGTCAGATGACAATAACTATTTCCCACATCTGCAACTGAGCATATTCTCTCTGGTTCTGTTGTTCCCAAATGGATTTCTTAACCTAATATCAAAATGCTTAATATTCTCCTCAATAACAATCTTAGGATACAGAAAAAAACTGAAATTGATTAGTTTTGATCGATATTTTATACTTTTAGAGTATAATAATTGTCCTGGACACTTCAGGTAATGAAAAAATTCGTTTTCGGTATGTTAGATACCCGCAATCATATAATAAGTAGCGGTTGGAAGCGTCTGTTGTGCTCCTTTACGTGACCTGATTAGAGGTCAGGGTCAGATATATCAGTCATCCTGTGTCCCAATATGGTAAGGTCACTAATTGATGACGTGTCACAGGCGAGTCGAAGTGTAATATGGAGTTGTTTATACAGCGGGAAAAAATGTATGCATTTTAAGCTTCGGTTATTTCGCACACGCAAAAAGGCCATTGCGAAGCTGTTTACTTAGAATCCTCTAACAGATAATCCTTCCTCTCATGAACAAAGAAAGTGAAAACAGATATAGGGGTGCTAAGAGTAGCAAAAAAAGGAAATGACCCATGAGTGCCAAGAACCTAAGTCCAAGGCAATAGAATTCCAGCAAGCAAACTGCCCAAGCATCCTCAATGTGATATTTATATAGAGTAGTAAACGATCAAGGGTAATTTAGAAAATGAAATGCTTCCGAAGAATGAATGCAGGTTTTTTGGTTAGGCAATAAAATAGAGATCGACTATTTAAACCCAATGCATTCTACGCCAAAGAAAGCAATAAAAAATCTTTTTTTTCGCCACAAAAAGATCATGGATCAATTTATTTATTTATTTATTTCAAATGGCAGGGGTTTTGAAAGATATCATTAGCCATTTAGCTGGCTTCGGGC